GGAATGTAAATTTTCAAGGAGATAGTGGGCTACTGTTTCGGCTGATTCCCATTTTGCAGGCAATACAGGGACCCTATTTCAGAAGAGAAGGTTTATGGGGGACCCTCAGCAGCCATCCTGGCCAGATGGAGCTCTCCTGATACAAGAGGAGGTGGAGGGTTGATCTAGACAGTTCCAGTACTTGTCCCCTTTTGCAGGGTTAAAAATGGACAAGTGGCTCCATATTGTGCTGTGAGCCATCCAGGCCGCTGCCTCCTGTGTATTGGCATCTCACACACACAGACACACAGACCCTGCAAGGTGTGCAGCCCATATCCCACCCAAAAGGTCCCCAGGAACATTTCCCCATGTTGCCCCAGCAGAGAACGGGGCCAGGGGATAAAATCAGGGAGTGTTCTCTGTACAGCGCCCTCCCAAAATCATTCAACATCAGGCTTTTGTTAAAAGCAAAGGAAAAGATTCCCAAAAAGGGCCAGAGAAGGAGGAAGGGGGGATGGTTCAGGGGTAATGCCACATCTCCTGAACATCTGAAGGGACTGGGGGAGAGGAAGAGATATTATTACATGTTCTGAACATCTGGAGAGGGCTGAGGAATGATGTCACCTGCAGAACATCTGGAGCAGCTGGGGAGTGTTGCATGGGCTGAACATCTGGAACTCCTTAATGATCTGGTGAGCCCCAGAGAGTCCCCATGGGCTGTGGCAAGCTGAGGGTCCCTGCTCATCACACATATCGTCTGGACTTTTATCAGACCATGTGGGATGGCTCTGGGGTGGAACCTATGGCTTCAGCCAGAGGTGCAAGTAAGCTGGTACGGTATGGTATGGCATACCAGCAAGAGCTGGTACACAGCCGACCGTACCGGCAGGGGACAGCTTCCGCAGGCTGGCAATTTAAATGGCCTGGGGCTCCCGGTAGTGGCCGAAGTCCCGGGCCCTTTAAATCACTGCCCGAGCCCCGGGACTCCCAGCCGCTGCCGCAGCTTCCGCTACCATGGGGCTCCGGCAGTGATTTAAAGGGTCCGGGGCTCCCAACCGCCACTACCACAGCCAGAGCCCTGGGCCCTTTAAATCTCAATTTAAAGGGCCCAGGGATTTAAAGGGCCCACCTCTTGCGGTTGAGACCCCACCCCCTGCTCAGGACTCCTGCGTCCTGGTAAGTCCTTTAAATTACTTTCACCCCTGGCTTCAGCTGTCCTGAACCTCCTGCTGCTGCTCTCAGCCTTCAGCCTGCTCTGGCCATGGATGTCCGGCCTGGGGGAGTTGGTAGGGGACTCCCCTGAAGGCCCTCTGCTTTCTCCAGCCTGATTTGGCTCCACAGCTCACCGGGGAACTCTCACCTCTCCCTCCTTCCAGACATCCCCTCCCTGAGGCTCCCAGCCCATCTGCACTCTGCTCTGCTCCAGAGCTCTGCATTCATGACTTCTACCTCCCTCTCTAGATTGTCACTTGCTTTGGGGCTCTCATTTATAGCTCCCAGGCCAGTCCTACCCTTCTCATTACACCAAAGGAGGATGCCCCTGCACTGGAACAGGATTTAAAGGGCGTGCTACCTTGCTGCACAGCCCATTTGAGATGGACTATTGGGGTGTGAGGGTTCCATGGCAGTTGGGCAGAATATTGGGGTCTGAAGATTCCGTGTCAGTTGGGTGAAATGTTGGGGTCTGGAGGTTCTGTGGCAGTTGAGGCGGGGGGGATGTTGGGGTCGGGCGGGGGGGGAGGGATGTTGGGGTCTGGAGGTTCTGTGGCAGTTGGGACGTGGCGGGGGGAGGGATGTTGGGGTCTGGAGATTCTGTGGCAGTTGGGGCGGGGCAGGGGGGGAGGGATGTTGGGGTCTGGAGGTTCTTTGACAGTCGGGTGGGGGGTGCTGGGATTTGGAGGCTCTGTGGCAGTTGGGCATGGTGTGGTTTGGTGGCTCTGTGGCAGTTGGGCATGTTGTGGTTTGGTGGCTCTGGGGCAGTTGGGTGGAGACTGGGGCCTGAGGTGGACAGGGGCTCACAGGCGTGAGGTAAATCCCTCAGTCACTAACCCTGGAGGTAGCTGAGGAGGCAGAAATGTCTCAGGGATTCATGGCCCCTGCTGTCACTGAGCCCACAATTGTGTGGGGACTGTGGTCAAGAGCACACGTGTCTGTTCCTATCTGGACTAAGACCCAACTCATTTCACACTAGGCCTAATGAACACAGCAAACGAGACTCACTCACTAAGATCCTGGTCTGTATACCATTCCCTGCCCCCCTGAGCCAGCCAGTCCCCTGCCCTGGGGCCAGATCAGAGCCAGTGCCCCCTAGAGGGGAAGGCCCCATATCCCGTTCCCTGTCCCCCTAAGCCAGACACTTCTCTGCCCTGAGGCTGCTCAGAGTCCCTAGAGGAGAAAGGCTGCACGTCCCATTCCCAGACCTGAGAACAGAGGGGATTGTTCCTGTCTATATAAACCCAGAGAGGCTCTTTTTGGCTCATCTCTGGGTCCCTCAATCCTGGAGAGATATTGACAGATTCCAGGGAGCCTAGGACAAAGCACCGAACATGATCAGAGGCTGCAGGGACCAGTTTACAAAGGGAGATTAAAGGAGCCAACTCAGCAAGGACTGAGAGGGGGATCTGCAAAAGAGGGTGGTGCTGGGATCCAAGGGTAGTGCTGGGATCCAAGGGTTTGAATCCCAGTCTGTGGCCCTTTGCCGCTCTTGCTTCAAGAACAAAGGAAATTCCCTGGTCATGAAGTTTCACATGACACTGGATCATAACTAATTTCTCTCCTTTTGCCTTTCCTTAAATCTGTGAGCCCTGGTTCTTTATTGCCCATCGGTAAAATTACACCACATCAGAACAATTCCCCAAAAGGATGTGGTAGACTTTCCAATCCACATTGGACTGGCTTCTCTCGAAGCTACAGTGGTCAAGATTTTCAAAAGGGATTAAATGATTTGGTCCAGAAAGATTAATTCAAACTGGAACAGGTGTAGAGGAGGCAGCTAGGGTGATCAGAGGTATAGTAGGAAGACTGCCTGAGATATAAGCCCTTGTATTAGAGCTGCATCCATTGTCACAGGCATACGTATCTTAGTATCCTCATAGCCTTAAAAGAGCAATACTCTGATGTGGAAACTACAGAACCCGAACCACCAAAAAAGAAAATCAACCTTCTGCTGGTGGCATCTGACTCAGATGATGAAAATGAACATGCGTTAGTCTGCACTGCTTTGGATCATTATCAAGCAGAACCTGTCATCAGCATGGACGCATGTCCTCTGGAATGGTGGTTGAAGCATGAAGGGACATATGAATCTTTAGCGCACCTGGCACGTAAATATCTTGCCAGTGGACTGAACAGTGCCTGTTCTCACTTTCAGGTGACACTGTAAACAAGAAGAGGGCAGCATTATCTCCTGCAAATGTAAACAAATTTGTTTGAGCGATTGGCTGAACAAGAAGTAGGACTGAGAGGATTTATAGGCTCTAAAGTTTTACATTGTTTTATTTTTGAGTGCGGGTTTTTTGTACATAATTCTACATTTTTAAGCTCAACTTTCATGATAAAGAGATTACACTACAGTACTTGTATTAAGTGAATTGAAAAATACTATTTCTTTTATTTTTACAGTGCAAATATTTATAATAAAAATAAATATAAAGTGAGCACTGCACACATTGTATGTTGTGTTGTAATTGAAATCAATATATTTGAAAATGTGGAAAACATACACAGATATTTATATAAATAGTATTCTATTATTAACAGCATGATTAATTTTTTTTATTTGTGTGATTAATCACAATTAATTTTTTTAATCACTCGACAGCCCTATTTTTAAGCATTATTTGAGATTATCTATTTAAATTTTCACAGTTGTACGGAAAATATTGGGGGATGTCAGACAATTATTTAATGACAAAAGCCACTGAGATTCAAAAAGTTGAAGTTTTATAAACCATTAAAACACAAATTGTCAACATCACATCACAATATACAAACTATATATCCTTAAATCAACAAATCATACCTGGTTTTACCGTTCATTTGTCAGTCCATTTGTAACAAGCCCAATTCAATAATCTAAATCATTGGATTTTGACTCTAATAAGTTCTCAAGCAGCATTTTTCTTACTTTGCCTATTTGTACATTTCAATTATTATTGATAGAAATACTTTGTTGATGGTTTGTGTGTGTGGTCAAATTGACATTTACAATAAAGAGCTAACCCTTCCAAACCTACCTAATATGCAGGCTGAGAGGGGATCTGACTGCTCTCTCTAAATATACCCTGGGGAAAACACCAGGGAGTGAGAAGAGCTATTGAACTAAAGGACAATGTTGTCACAAGAACAGATGGGGACAAACTGGCCAGGAATCAATGTAGGCTGGAAATGAGAAAGTTCCTGACCATCAGAGAAGGGAGGTTGTGGAACAGCCTCCCACTAGGAGCAAACAGCCTAACTGGTTTGAAGATGGATCTGAGTAAGTCTCTGAGTAGGATTCCATGATGGTCTCAGTGATCCAGGAGGGCTCTTCCAGTTCTAAGTTTCTTGGAGACATATTAAAGGGGCTGGTTTTCAGAGGGCAGGCGCTCAGCATCTTTTGAAAACCATCCCGCTATAAGAGGGGTCTCAATCTGATCAACCAAAAAAAAATCACTAGTCGCTTTTGAAAAATCTTGGCCACATTCAAGTGGAACCATGAGCTTCTTGGCTGGATGCAGGAAACACTGGGTGAGGTTTTTCTGGTCTGTGTTATACAGGAGGTCAGACTAGAATGATCTAATGGTGTCTTTTACCCTTGAAATCTATGGGCAACTCAGAGCCATAGATTCATTTGGGGCATCTAATTTCTGGCCTCGCCGTGGGAACCGTTGTCCATTACAGAGTCCTAGATCCCAAGGCTAGAAGGGACCATTGTGATCATCTAGTCTGACTTCCTGTGTCTCATAGTCCAAAGAACTTCCCTGAATTAATCCCTGTTTGAACTAGAGCAGATCTTTTAGAAAAACATGATTTTAAATGTGCTGGTGATGGAGAATCCACCATGACACTTGACAAATTGTTCCAATGGCTAATTACCCTCAGTGTTAAAAAATTGTGCCTTGTTTCTCATTGGAAATTTGTCTAGCTTCAACCTCCAGCCATTGGATCGAGTCAGACCTTTCGCTGCTAGCCTGAAGAGTTATTTGTTCCCCATGGAGATACTTCTAGACTGTAACCAAGTCACCCCTTAACCTGCTCCTTGTTAAGCTAAATAGACTGAAGGAGCTCAATCTATCATTATAAGGCAGGTTTTCCAATCCTTTCATCATTCTAGTGACCCCTCATAATCCTTCTTCTCCGACGCCGCTCCAATTTATCAACATCCTTCTTTAACTGTGGTCACCAGAATTAGTACCACTATTCCAGCAGCAGTCGCACCAGGGCCAAGACAGAGCTATGCAAGACCTTATTGCACCTCCTGCGGAGACTGCTCTGCCACGTGGGTCCTGGCATGTTTGCTAAGCTTGGAGCTGTCGATGAAACTCCTCCCACACTGGGTGCATTTATAGGGTCTCTCTCCTGTGTGGGTGCGCAGGTGTTTGACCAGGGTGGACTTCAGATTGAAGCACTTCCCACACTCAGGGCATTTGTAGGGCCGCTCTCCACGATGGATCCTCTGGTGCTGGATGAGGTTGGCGCTCAGGTTGAAGCTCTTCCCGCACTCCGTGCACTTGTAGGGCCGCTCCCCGGTGTGGATGCGCAGATGCTTCCCCAGCGACGAGTTGAGGCCGAAGCTCTTCCCGCACTCGGGACACTTGTAGGGACGCTCGCCCCGGTGGATCCGCCTGTGCTGGATGAGGGTGGAGCTCTGGGTGAAGCACTTCCCGCACTCGGTGCAGTTGTAGGGCTTCTCCCCCGTGTGGGTGCGCTGGTGCTTCACCAGGTTGGAGCTCTGGCTGAAGCCTTTCCCACAGTCCGAGCATTTGTAGGGCCGCTCGCCCGTGTGGGTGCGCTGGTGCTGGGCCAGGTTGGAGCTGCTGCTGAAGCCCTTCCCACAATCAGAGCAGGTGTAGAGCTTCCCGGGCAGGTGAGATCGCAGGTGCTGAGGGAGGGAGCTGAGACTGAAGCTCTTCCCGCACTCAGGGCAGATGTAGGGCTGTGAGCCCATGTGAGTGCGGACGTGCTTAGCCAGCGTGTGACTGCGGTTGAAGCTCTTCCCGCATTCAACACACTGGTAGGGCCGCTCCCCGGTGTGGATGCGCTGGTGCTGGGCGAGGTGGGAGCTCTGGCTGAAGCTCTTCCCGCAGTCGGGGCAGTTGTAGGGTCGCTCCCCGGTGTGGATCCGCTGATGCTGGACAAGGTGGGAGCTCTGGCTGAAGGATTTCCCACAGACAAGGCATTTATAGGGTCTCTCTCCCATGTAGGTGGTTTCCAGAATAATGATGTTTTCAGGGATCCCATATGCTTCACACTCATCGGGTCTCTCCTCCACGGAGTCTCCCTGCTGCCATTCTGGCCGGCCAGCATCTCTCCGCTCGGGGCTTTGGGGCATCCCCTGTGGGTCCGCTCCCATACACTCTTCCTGCTGGGGATTCTCCTTCGCTTCTGCACCTGCTGGGAAACAGAGAGAATCCAGACAAGGCTCTTCCCCAGCAGAACCAGCCCCTCCTCAAAGCCCTCAGAGAAAGGCTCGGGAAGGGGAGGGCTCCTACCAGAGGTGGAGGCCGGAAATCACACCTGGAGGACAGGGCCCTGCGGGAGATGATACTGAGCAAGACCAGAGAGAACCGGGAGGGCTCCAGGCGGCTTTGCTGGGATCCCTTCACTCCCCTGAATTGCCAAACTAACCTATGTAATTTGATGCCAGTTTTACTACTTCAAGGCTCCCCCGGCTTTGTGGCTCACTGACACCAGCCCTACGGGTTTGCGGTGCGGTTCTCTGGCCTGGGTTTGGCAGGACGTCAGCCTAGCTGACCAGAATGGCTCCTTCTGGCCTCCCCCATCTATGGCTCTAGCATGGCACCCCAGGGTGCTGGCTGCTAATTCATGGAGGGTCCCCTAGCCAGCCTCATTCCTTTGTCACCTGTGCAAGTGACGGCCAGGGTCTCCCTTTCCTCGGTGCCCTGGAGATCCCGGACACACGGCTCGTCCCCGCGCTCCATCCCGGAGATCCCGGAGTCAGGGACCAGGAATCCTGCCTGCAAGGGAGGAAAGAGAGGAAGTCCTGATTTGATAAATTACCATTAAACCCTTCAAAAAGCCGCCCCGAAACTCCCACCCCGGGCTGCCCCGGAGCTGGGGGGTCTCTCCGGTCCCCACTGCAGGTCGGGCTCGGATCCCCTGGTCTCTGCAGCCACTTCTCCGGGCAGCGATTTCCTGCCTCTGCTGCTGCGTCTCTCCCTGCCCCGAGAGCTTCCTCCGGCGGCGCTTCTCCGCGCCTCCCCGGTGCCCCGCTCACCGCCGGGCCGGGCCGGGCCCCTCCGGACCCCGGGGCTGCAGGCGGGGACTGACCCCGGAGCACACAGGGAGCCGGAGTCGGGGGCGCTGGGACAGGAAGGTCCCTGCGCTATTTGCAGCCCCGCTTACGGCCCCGCCTGGGAAGGGGAGGGATTAAGAAATTGGTGGTTTTAACCCCTAAGGCTCCTTCAGTGCATGTCCCAGCACCGTCCCTCTGGCTTCCCTGCGCCTCCGCCCGGCAAACCCGGGCTGGGGGGCCTTGGATGGGAACTCTGCAAGTGCACACACACGGCTGCATGCACACAGTCCACACGCTACAGCCATAGGCTCCAGACACACCTTGCACAACACACCACACACACACTGGCTTCATGCACACACTCCACACGCTACAGCCATAGGCTCCAGACACACCTTGCACAACACACCACACACACTGGCTGCATGCACACAGTCCACACGCTACAGCCGTAGGCTCCAGACACACGTTGCACAGCACAGTGCATGCGCGCACACACACACACTGGCTGCATGCACACAGTCCACACGCTACAGATGTAGGCGTCAGACACACGTTGCATAACACAGCACACACACACACACACTGGTTGCGCCTCTGGGATTAGTTGGAGGAAGTTCTCGGGCCTCTATTACAGGGGCGCTCAGACTAGATGATCAGCTCTGGGTCGCTTTGCTGTGGTCTCCCTGCCCTGCACCATTTCAACGCGCGTCGGGCAGCCACGCCAGGAAACGTGCCCTGGACTGGGCTCTGATCGGCTCGCTCCGGGTGGGAACCAAACTACACAGGGTGGTGGCGTGTAGGGAGCGAAGGGTTAACCCCACACTCCTCCCCTTCCCAGAGCACATGGTGCCACCATCAGGGGGCTGGAATAGCGCAGGGACCTTCCTGTCCAGCCCCCCCAGCTCCTCCTGCCCTGGCGGGTCGGCTCCCGAGCCGGACTCCTGTGCGGTGCTGGGCGAGTCCCCGCCTGCAGCCCCGTGGATCGCCCCGGCCGGGCGGTGAGCGGGGGCGCCGGGGAGGGAAACAGCAGCAGAAGCAGCAAATCGCTGCCTGGAGGAAGCGGCCGCAGGGACAAGGGGATCGGAGCCGAAGTGGGGCTGGGACTGGAGAAATCCCCCCCCCCATTCAGCAGCACCTGGGGGTCTGTGCAACTGAGCCACAGGTGTCCCCCCCCCCAACCCGGGGCTGCCTGGGGGGGAAGTTTTGAAGGGTTTAATGGTAATTTATCAAACCAGGACTTCCCCTCTTTGCTCCCCTGCAGGCAGGATTCCCTGTCCCTGACTCCGCGATCTCCCAGATGCAGCGAGGGGAAGAGCCGTGTGTCCCGGTTCTCCAGGGCGCCGAGGGACGGGAGATCCCCCGAGGTGCCTGCACAGGTGAGGAAGACCCTCCGTGAGTTAACAGCAGGCCCTGCTAGAGCTGGAGATGGTGAAGGCCCGAAGGGGCTGTTCTGGGGATCTGGAGTCGCACCCCAAAGCTGGAGGGCCAGTGTCAATGATCCACAACGGCAGGGGGGAGCCGGGAGGTGGCGAAAGTGGCATCCAATTATTTCGGTTGCTGTAGCGATTCGTAATCTGCCCTCCAGTGTATCTCAAGCCATCAGTGCCACCCACCACCTGCACATGAGCCCAGCAACTGAATTTAACCAAAGTATCACAGCCCACCGGAGGCTAAACTATGAGATGCCACAGGCAGAGAATAGGAGGGACCGAGGCGCACCAGTGCCTGAGGCCCCCACAGTGGAAGGTAAATGATTAAGTGAGAGATCCCCAGATGATCCTAGCCAGTGATCCACACCCACACGCTGCAAAACTAAGGCCTGGTCTACACTGGAGGGCACGGGGGGAGGGGAGGGGTCGATCTAAGTTATGCAACTTCACCTATGTGAATAACGTAGCTGAAGTCGACATACTTAGATCTACTCACCATGGTGTCTTCACCGCGGTAAATTGACAGCTGACGCTCCCCCGTCAACTCCGCCTGCACCTCTTGCCCTGGTGGAGTACCGGACTTGATGGGAGAGTGCTCGGCGGTCGATTTATCCTGTCTAGACTAGACAGGATAAATCAACCCCCGCTGGATCGATCACTGCCCGTAGATCCAGCCGGTAATGTAGACAAGCCCTTAGAGGAAGATGTAAAACACCCAAGGTCTCTGCCAGTCTAACCCGGGGCGGAATTTGTTCCTCACCCCATATATGGCGATTAGTTAGACCATGGTACCTGGGGGTACGCAGAGGTCTTCCAGGGGGTACATCAACTCATCCAGGTATTTGCCTAGTTTTATAACAGGCTACATAAAAAGCACTAGCAAAGTCAGTACAAACTAATGTCATACAGACAATGGCTTATTTATATGGCTCTATAGTCTATACACTGAAACGTAAGTACAATATTTATATTCCAATTGATTTATTTCATAATTATATGGTAAAAATGAGAGCCATTTTTCAGTACTACTAAAAAAAGAACAGGAGTACTTGTGGCACCTTAGAGACTAACAAATTTATTAGAGAATAAGCTTTCGTGGGCTACAGCCCTCTTCTTCTGAGCTTATGCGCTAATAAATTTGTTAGTCTCTAAGGTGCCACAAGTACTCCTGTTCTTTTTGCAGATACAGACTAACACGGCTGCTACTCTGAAACCTGTCAATACTACTGTGGCTGTGACACTTTTGTATTTTTATGTCTGATGTTGTAAGCAAGTCGCTTTTAAGGGAGGTGAAACTTGGGGGTATGCCAGACAAATTGGGCTCCTGAAAGGGGTCCAGTAGTCTGGGAAGGCTGAAAATCACTGAGTTAGACCCTGAGCATGTGAGCTCGACCCAGCCAGCCGAGCACCAGAGAGTGCTCAGTGCTACCTCAGAGCCCTGCCCCACTGCTTGTGTCCCATCTCCAGCCATGGCCATCACCAGTGCTTCAGAGGAAGACGACTGGGGAAAAAAAGCCAGCCTCCCAAAACACACTTGGGGAAAAAAAATCCCTCCCTGCCTCGTGCCGGTGGACATAGGGTGACCAGACAGCAAATGTGAAAAATCAGGACGGGGTGAGGGGTAATAGGAGCCTATATAAGAAAAAGACCCAAAAATCGGGACTGTCCCTATAAAATCAGGACATCCGGTCACTCTAGGTGGACAACTGAAACCCTGAAGTATGAGTTTTTAGGAACATAAGACATAAACCAGAAATGAGCCCCGCCCTCCCACATCCCATTTGCACTCAAATTTGTCCAGTTCTCTTAAAATTAATCTTTATTCCCCCTCCCCACACACACACACGCACACACTCCCCATTGGGAAGCTGTTCCAGAATCTCACTTCTCTGATGGTTAGAAACCACCTAATTTCCAGCCAGAATTTGTTCTGCCCTGTCTTGCTCAGTATCCGACCCGCACAGATCCCAAGGCCGGAAGCTTGGGATTTATCTCGTCTTGCCAGCTGTATAACACAGGCTGTTGAACTTCCCCAGAATAATTGCTTTAGAACTAGAGCAAATCTTTTCAGAAAGAATGCTATCTTGATTTAAAACTTGCCGAAGATGGAGAATCCATCGTGATCCTTGCCAAGTTGTTTTGATGGTTAATTCTCCTCAAGGTTAAACATGTACACCATATTTCCAGTCTGAATTTGTCTAGCCTTAACTTCCGGCCTTTGGATTGTGTTAGACCTTCATCTTCTAGATTGAAGAGTCCATTATCAAATTTCCCTCCCGAGCTTTCCTCTGAGGGCTTAGCTGGATCGTTGGAGCAAAGCCACTTCCCCTCTGGGGAAGGGTTTGGGGAAATTCACCTCCTACCCATCAGATTTGCCACTCACTCTCTCCCCAGTGAACGAGCCCTGGCTGAATTCTCCCTCTCTCCCAGTAGGTGCCAGAATGGAGGGGAAGAGTCCGAAGAAGGAAGGGCCTACGGGAACAGAGCCACACTGGATGTCCCAGAGCATTAAGCAAGAAGAGGGCAGCGGGGCTGGATGGCCGGAGGAGATCAACGCGATGTCTCCAGAGGAGATCGGCATCAGGATGATGATGGAGCACAACCGAGCCCAGCTGGGGGAGAGCCCCTACAGCTGCTCGGACTGCGAGAAGAGCTTCAGCCAGAGCTCCCACCTGGTCCAGCACCAGCGCATCCACATGGGCCAGAAGCCCTACAAGTGCACCGACTGCGGGAAGAGCTTTGTTCTCAGCTCCAACCTCCTGGAGCACCAGCGCATCCACACCGGGGAGCGCCCCTACAAGTGCGACCAGTGTGAAAAGACCTTCAGCCAGAGTTCCCACCTCTTCCAGCACCAGCGCATCCACACGGGTGAGCGGCCCTACCAATGCACCGAGTGCGGGAAGAGTTTCAACCGCAATTACACCCTGGTGAAGCATTACCACACCCACATCGGGGAGCAGCCCTTCATCTGCAGCGAGTGCGGGAAGAGCTTCAGCCTCGGCTCCTTCGCCCAGCACGTCCGCACCCACACGGGCGAAAAGCCCTACAGCTGTGCTGAGTGCGGTAAGAGTTTCAGCAGCAGTTCCAACCTGAGCCAGCACCGGCGCATCCACACCGGGGAGAAACCCTACAGCTGTGGCCACTGCGGGAAAAGCTTCAGCCAGAGCTCCAACCTCATCAAGCACCGGCGCATCCACACCGGAGAGAGACCCTACAGCTGCCCCGAGTGCGGCAAGACCTTCAACCAGAGCTCGTCACTCATGCAGCACCGGCGGATCCACCGCGGGGAGCGGCCCTACGAGTGCACCGAGTGCGGGAAGCGCTTCAGCGTCAGCTCCCACCTGGTGGAGCACCGGCGGATCCACCGGGGCGAAAAGCCTTACAAGTGTGTCGACTGCGGGAAGAGCTTTGGCTGCAACTCATCCCTAATGAAACACCAGCGCATCCACACCGGGGAGCGGCCCTACAAGTGCCCCGAGTGTGGGAAGTGCTTCATCGACAGCTCCAAGCTCAACAACCACCGGCGCACCCACACTGGAGAGCGGCCCTACAAATGCACCGACTGCGGGAAGGGCTTTGGAGACAGCTCCGCGCTCATGAAGCACCAGAGGACGCACACCAAGTAGACACCCAGCAGATGGAGAGGGGGGCACTGGTGTCTCTCTGGAGGGTGAAATTGACATGCTCTGGGGATCGGGGGCCTCTATAAGGGAGACATTGATGTGCCTTCTGGGGGGACAAGGGCACCTTTATAGAGAGTAAATTGGTGTCCTTTTTTCCAACCCCTATTGGTCAGCAAGACATACCCATCCATCTCGGAAACCCTGGCCCCTACCCCCAGTGTATGCCAATGCCCTTTTGCCTGCAGCAAGCTACGGGCCTGATCTGAAGCCCCTTCCTCTCTCCCGCACTTACAGTGGATCAAGATGCAGGTGGCTTCTGCGAGGATCCCAAAGTGGCAGGAAATGCTAAGGCAAATCATGCAGCTGTGATGTGTGCCACAGGGATTTGTATGGAGGAAATAAGCAAACATAGTGAGGTTTAGTGATTAGCCCTGGGAATCAGAACTTCTGGGTTCTGTCCTCAGGATGGGGAGTAGGGTCTAGTGGGTGATAGCAGAGGGGGCTGGGAGCCAGGACTCATGGATTAGATTCCCAGCTATGTGTGGGTTCTAGAAGGTGAAATCAGAGTTTGTTTGCAGTTGTGGATAGGTGTATAGTTTAGAGCAGGGGCCTGACAATCAGACCTCCTGGGTTCTACACCCAGCTCTGGCACTTTACCTTTCTGTGTCTCAGTTTCTTCTTCATCTGTCAAATGAGAATAATGCTTTTTTCTAATGTTTTGAGAGTCATAGATGAAAAGTGCTTATTATTCTGTATTTGATGAGTAATTGTCTAAGCCAGAAGTGACCCTCATTTCACCTGCGTTGTTCATGCTCTGAGTTAGCTGTAGAGCATAGATCTCTAGGTCTTTTCTTAAGCTGGTTTGCAGAAATTAAGATCCACGATTGATGTCTCATTTCTCTCAACCAACTAGGAGAAGAAATGTAAAGGGATCCTGGAAAAGGAAATAAAACTGGGGATTGTGCCCTTTAATTTTACTACTTTATGATGCACAAAACAAAGCCTGGGGAAGGGGCAGAGGGAGTCAACCTGCTTGGGACATTAGAAATTTGGGAGTTGTATAACTTGGAAGTCTCTTGGGAAGACTCGAGAATTGGGTCTGATCAGTTAAACCTGGAGAATGGCTTTAAAACTTAAGTTAAGGCTAGGAGTTTTCAATAGCAATCTCAGAGGATGTCCATTGTGTGAGATATCTTAGAGGCCTAATTTTCAGGTGGAAGTGCTCAGCATTGTCTGAAAATTGGGGCCGCTTAACCATTAAAAGTTGGCCACTGCCTGTCACCATTGAAAGTTTTGGTCCAAATCTTTAAAAATCAAGATTTTCTCTCCCAACATGTTCCTTGGGTAACTGAGGTAGATGAGTGACAACAAAGTGAGCCTCTCAGATTCTTTGCCTGTGTTAATATTGAGCTAAGTCAAATGTCTGCGTCATGGGGTGCTCTACTCACCACAGGAGCACCTCCTTGTGGCCACAGCTGGGGATTAGCTCTGCCAGTCTGACGCCCCTTCCTACACGTGCTCACTCCGTCTGTCTCTCGGGATTCAATGGCTCCCTCTTCGTGGCTTGGCCCTCTGGCCCATCAATGGGGCCATTTCCCCAGTGGCTGGTAGAGTAACCCAGGCCTGGCCCCTTCTCTGGGTTCCAGCTCAGGGAGCCTACCCTGCTCTGTCCCACACGTCACTGTTGTTTCCTTGGTCTGCTTCCTACATTGTCTCTGTCCAGCTTCCTCTCCATCCTCCTCCAGGTTTGCCTTTCCCTCTGGGCCAAGCTCCCTGCTCTCTCAAGCCCCACAGAGTGACTGTAGATCTCCTCCCTGCAGCCCCTTTCTGCCCTCAGCTACCTGGCTTTCTACAAGCCCTTCCTATTGCTGTCCAGGTGAGCTTCATCCTTTAATTAGTCCTCTCTGCCCCCCTCCAGGTGCAGCCTTGGTGGTTAATTGGTCCAACTAGCCATGTTAAGCTCTTCAGAGGTGGTGTGGGGTGAATGCCCCATCAGACATGGGTTTACCAGGTCTGTGCTACATCCTGGCCTTTAAACAGTCTCCTGGGAGTATCCCTTTTAGTGTGGCAGACCTTCAGGGGGACACACAGTTCCACCAGGGGAGGCCATGCAGCCTCTCCGACTCCAGGATTGGGCCTTCAGGCTCCAGCACCCCTGTTTGCCACAGGGAGCTCCTACAGCGAGTCCGACTGAGATCAGACTTCTGCGGAGACATTCTCGTCTCAGGGAACGATGCAGCCCATTGCGTATTAGCAGTGATACTGAGCTCTTTCCTCCCTGTAGAGTGTCGGAGGAAGTTGCCTGCTCTTTCCAGGCCCAGCAGCTCAGTGTTCTTGTTCAGTCACTGGGGCTCCCATTATGTCTTCCGGATCTTTCATTCAGGTGTGTTGATTCTTTTCTGCTCCTAAAGACACCTTGGTACCATTTCAGACAGTCCACCTGCCATTCTGCCAGCCCTCATTCCCCGCTCTACTCAGTGTGTAGCCATACAAAGTGCATGGGGAAACTGAGACACGCATATGGCTCATAAAAATATTACCAACATTCCCTTGTACATCACAGCATAACAACTTCTCTAAGGTGCCACAAGTACTCCTGTTCTTTTCACAGCATAACAGACACTCTGGAGAAAAATCTTTGTTAAAAGTTCACCAACCCTTTGCCTTGGGAGTTCTGTTAAGCTCTCAAGCCTCCTCACCCGATGCTTCACAGGGAAATAAAATAAGAACATACATTCCTGGTGTTGCTAAGGTTTAAAAAATAAACCCCAGCCCTTCCCCCAGCCCTGTTGTATTTCTACAGGCAAAGCTGTCAATGGGGATCAGTGGGAGCTTTGATGGAGTTATATCTGCAAGGCAGAATTCTTTATAAAACCCCAACAGCCATGTGAAACTATTTATACTTAAGAAAAGATGATTCTTCTGTTCTTGGAGCTGAATAGGTTAGAGGAGGGCTTTGAGTCAGGACTTCTGGGTTTTCTTCCCAGCTCTGGTAGGGGAATGGTGGGTAGTGGTTTAGAGTGGGTGAGGGGGCCTGGGAGTCAGGACACCGTGGTTCTGTCCCTGGCGCTCTGGGGGAAGTGGGGTCTAGAGATTGGATCAGAGGACGAAATGGAAATCTAGACTTCTGGGAGAGAAGAGACCAAAGCTTTTTAGAACAACAAGCTAGCATCAAGATGTGGCACGGAAAACCTGTGATTGAACAATAGGGTGGGAGAGGAGGAAGGAGGAGAAAAAGCAAATTACGAAGATTGTTTCCAAACTGGCTAGTTATTTTGGGGTGCTCAGTCTGACTCTGATTTTCAGAGGGCGAGCACTGAGCGCTTTTGGGGGAATCACTTTCCATGTACGGGGGTCTCCCCCAATTTGGCTCCCATAAAAACGGAGACACCCCTAATCACTTGCTGCTTTTGACAGTGGTGGCCACTGAATCTTCAGAGTAAACTGGCTAGAATCCCTGCTCTCTGCTTAGCCAGGTCTTCCACCCACCCCTCACCCTCTCCTTAAGTCAGTTATTTGCTTCTTTGATTCACGCAGGGAAACCTTTTCTAAAACCAAAGGAAACCCAGTTTGCTTTAGAGAAGTGACTGCTGTTAAAATGCCCTTTTTAAGTAATATTTTTTAGCCTTTTTTTTTTAAATAAAGGGGAGGGCATGTCTATTTTAATTCCGGGGATCTTTATAAACACAGAGAGGGGAAGTAAAGGGATTGGCAAGATTTCATCTTAGCAGGAAAGAGAGAGATCTTTTTCCCACAACTTCACAGGACATTATAACCCAGAGATCTTTCTCCCACAGCTTCATGAGTTGTCATAACCCAAAGATCTCTCTCCTGCAGCTTTGTGAGTTGTCATAATGCAGAGATGTCTCTCCAACCATTTCAATCAACGTTACGAGGAGCTGAGAGAGACAATGCAGGAAATCTACTTGTGGCAAGATCAGGGCCTTCACACTATGTAGCTTTTAAGGGAGGGGTGTTTGAATTTATCTAATGTTTTTCTGTAGGGCTGATTTTTTTAATTCTGTATTTTTTTTTTAGTAATACTATTTTTCTATTGGTGTCAGGAGCTTCCTGTAGTTAGATCTAAGAGGTGACAATAAATATTTGTAGCTAAAAGATGGCATGTGTTGGGTTTTTTTTTTTTGTGGTCTGTGGTGTCCAGAAAAAACACAGCTGTGGGGAAGTGAGAGGTCTGTGGGTGTAGGGATTCTGTATGGGTGAACTGAGCTCCTTAAAGGGTCACAGGAAGTGGAGGGTGAGAGTGGGAGGTCAGAGGTCTGTGTGAAGGATTTGAATCCTAGTGCCTGGATTGCTGCAGGGTAAGATGGGGATTTGAAGGAACATTCTGTATCTCTCTGTCACGTTGGGGGGTGCTCTGATTCCTGGAAAAGATTCAAGGGAAACAAAGAAAATGATGGGGAGTCTTTAATAGAGCTCAATTTCTGTAACCCCTGATTGCATCAGCAGTGGGGGCAGATTCTATTCTTCATGACTCTGGTGTAAATCCGGAGCGGCACCCCTGACGTCTCTGGAGTCAGGGTTGCATTCTGGTTGTTCTTATTAGCAAATAGGCTTGAGCGTGTTGGTCTCTGTTTGTTCCTTTAAAATCTAGAGCCATGTTCAGATTGTGGATAACACCTTGTAGCACAGCACAGACTCACCCCTGCGGTTTCTTCCTACTGGTCATCCTCAGGAATTAGCTCTTCAACCCAGGAGCACCCTCTGCAAGCCAGTGATCTGCTTGCCATTGGCCCCCCTACCCCTCCCAAGACCCCGGTGCCCTTGTCTTGGGTGCTGCCCCCCTGGCAGTACCCCGCTGTCTCTGGATTTCCCCACCCACTATCCCCACTTCATCTCAGTTTTGGCTACTGCCCAGTCTCCATCTAGCCCCCGTTCACTGGGGCAGACTGCAGTATCAGCACTCATCATAGGCAAAGGGGTTTGGACTGGCTGCCTTTACCCACCCTCAGGCTGCCCCTCTACAAGCCCAATACCTAAGTGGGCCTAAGACTAGGCCCTGCAGCCTGGGGAGTTGCTGGCCTAGGATTTCCCAGTTTCTAAGGCCTTTCCCCAGCCCTGCCTCACTCTAGGTCCCCCAGTGAATTCCCCAGCAGCCAGGCCTGTCTCCCTCTCCAGTCAGAGAGAGACTCTGTCTGCTGGAGCGCCTGGCTCAAGCCTTTATAGGGCCAGCTGGGCCCTGATTGGGGCATGGCCCCAGCTAAGCCTGCTTCCTCCCAATCAGCCCAGGCATCTGCCCTTCCACAGCCCTCCTCCAGGGCTGTTTTAAACCCCTCAGGGCAGGAGTGGGTGTTCACCCCTCTACAGAGTGTGCTCAGTGTCCTCGGGCTGCCCTGCTGGCTGGAGCTCTCCCTTCTCCTCTCCAGCTGCCCTGCATGGCAGGGGCTGCCCACACTGCCGCGGCCCTGCCACCGGCCGCGGCGTCCCTTCCCGCTGCTCCCTCCACCAGCTCTGCTTACGCCCACCCACTTCCTGAACCCCAGACAACTATGGCTACTCCAGCTCCCACCACACACTCAGCCCTTTTAAAACATGTCTCAGATGAAGTAGGCATCTTCTTTCACAGGCTCTCTTATTTTCCTCGTTGTATTGTCTGAAGTACGTATTTTAAAGCCCCGCACACCTATCAAAGCCACCTGTGTTTTACCAGCAAATCAAGAGGACGACGAGATCTGGGGGGAAAGGAACCAAAAAGAACGACTTCAAACTGTTTTGCTTTTCTAACGAAATTATAAAGCCAGGTCCCCACCGTGTCGAAATGTCAAAAGAGCAAGACCCGATTGTCCATCAGCAAAGACGCAGGGCTGCGGGATAGGAACCGTAGTGGAAACAGTGACACCCAAAGAGTAGTAATAATTAATACCTAGCATTTCCCATGGCAGAATTCTGCAGTAACAGTGCAAAGCGCAGCAAGAGCATTGATAGCAACTAAGCTCTACTAGGCTGGGCACAAGTCTGGGACTCAGACCTGCCTCCTTGGCCTAATCACTGCTCCAAGTCACTCTGCCTGGTCAATTTCCCCAGCTATAAAATGGTGATAAGGCTGCTACTTCCTTTTTGTGAAGTACTTTGGGTGGGACCACAGGAGCTGACTTTGTGCTTTCCTGGGGGGTGCTCAACCCCTGCTCTGCCCCAGGCCCCACCCCCACTCTACCCCTTCCCCCAAGCTTCCATCTCTGCCCTGCCTCTTCCTGTCCCTGCTCCTCCCCCTAACAAGTGTGTGGGGATGTATCATCCCTACACCAACCTAATGAAAAGTTCCATGAGGAGGTAAGGGTCACGATGGGACACTTGCCAGGTAAACAAACATGGCCTTATGTAAGGCCCCCTGGTGGTCTAGAATTATATAAGATGAGGTAAACAAATCATGGCCTTATGTAAGGAACGGTTAAACCAATCGGTGTGGGGCTATACATGTGATAAACACATGATTCTCCTTCTTGTCCAATCCGTAGATGTGTGATTATAGCCTAATTGTGTTATGTAATGTAAAGAAAAACTATAAAAGAAAGCTTGCAATAAACAGAATTCGGATTCAGCCTGCAACCACATTGGTCGTGTGCGTTATCCGCTCCGCATGGAACCCCACACAATGCATGCCCCCCCTTACTTTTCCCCTTCCCCCCCCCCTGTGCCTCCTGCACGCCATGAAACAGCTGATCCGCGGCGGGCAGGAGGTGCTGATTGGCGGGGCCTGACGGCAGGCAGGACCCACTGGGGGAAGGGGGAGGAACTGATAGAGGGGCTGCCAGTGGGTGCTGAGCACCCACCATTTTTTTCCCAGGGGTAGTCCAGCCCCGGAGCACCCACGGAATCGGCGCCTCTGGGGTGCTGGTGGGACACACAAAGGGACTGAGGCGTTGCAATGCTGAGTGTCACAGCACCTAGAAAATCACAGGAACGCGCCATGATGCACAAAGCTGAGATAGGCCCCTAAGCTCCCTGTGCAATGCATGAGGAGAGAGAAGGGCCTAAGAATGCCGCCCACAAAAGCCAGCATTGCTGCTCCCTAGGCAATGGGAGAGAGGCCAACAACAGGCATGTGTGAAAGCCCTGCCCCGTTTCTCAGAGATAGTGAAGCTTGGATATAGGTGCCTAACGCCCCATGTCAGCTTAGCGAGCCCCAAACAGGAACTCACCACCTGGAATCAGACAGCTTAGGCACCTGTTTCATGGATCCTACCCTTAAGAGCTAGACAGTGTGATCTAACAGCTGTGTTGTCAGAAGCTGACATGCTTTGGATGGATGCTGCAGAACAATTTAACATAGCTCTTAACTTCCTCAGCGAGCTCTCTCTGGGAAACGGTGGAAGCCCTATTGCTTGGGACGTTTAAAACGGGCCCAGACCAAATCCTAATCAATGCAGAAGGGGGCACAATCCTGCATTGCTGCAAGAGTTTGGGAGGCTGCTCTAGTCTGTTCCCTAAGCACAGCGCTGAAAACGGGGCTTTGCTGCCATTAACCGAAAATAGGGGAAGAACCACAATAAAATGAACTACATTGGTAAAAAAAATAGGGTGGCAACAGCAGACGTTAACATTAAGAGGCATAAATTAACTTCTTGAAAAGGATGAGGTAATTGTTTACAGTTTAATAGTTTGGTAATCGGGTAGGAGATAGCAGTTTCAGTTCAGCCTAGGTTGGCAGGCAGACAAGTGTAGACTGGGGCCAAGTAAAGATCACTCCAACCCTGCAGGGAGGGGTCAGGCAGGCAGGCTCAGTCCAAAACTAGGTATGGGTCACCAGACCATAATGCTAAACAGACCATAAAACTAAGTCTTGTTATGTAACAGCTTTGATTGACAGCCAAATTTAGCCGTTGTGATAGGCCTATAAGTGTGGACCAATCAGAGAGGGTTTAAAGGTGATTGGAGGATAGAATATGCTCGTGACACCCTGACACTCCAATATTCACCACTGTCATGTAATTCGGATACGTTTGGTATAAAGTATGTCTTAGGGGGTATCGTCCTAAAAGTCTTGATCCGCTAGACATTAATATCTCGTTGGATTGTATGTGCGATCGTCGTATGCAAAGTGATGAAGTTTGGCTATGTGTGTGTTACTGAAACATGTTGTGAGGTTGAAAACACCCACAAGCCGCCTTTTGGGTACAACAATAACAAGGCCAAACAATGTTAATGGCTCATTGAGGAAATGCACACAAGCACAAGGATTACCCCAGGAACTGGGTACAATAGAAACCTCTCAAAGATAGCACTACACAATGGGAACCCAAGTCACAGCAAAAGAGCTTTCCAGCAAGTGGGAAGAAGATATAAAAGTGGGACAATGACCTCACCCCCCTACAACAACACATTGACTTCATTGGGACTCCTCATATGAGTAAAGTTAAGCATGTAAATAAGTGTTTGTAGGATCAGGTCCTTAGTCTGAATAATGTCCAACTGACTCTGATCATCCCAGGACTGAATCAGGACCACTATCATTTCTCATAGAATCGTAGGACTGAACGGAACCTCAAGAAGTCATCTAGTCCAGTCACCTGCACTCCTGGCAGGACCAAGCACCAACTAGACCATCACTGGCAGGGATGGGAGATTACACCCAAGACGTCTTTTCTGGGTTCTGAGAGCAGGGCCGGCTCCAGGCACCAGCGAAGGAAGCAGGTGCCTGGGGCGGCCAACAGAAAGGGGCAGCACGTCCGGGTCTGTGGTGGCACCTTGGCGGCACCTCGATCGCTCCTCTTTAGTCTTCGGCAGCAATTCGGTGGGGGGTCCTTCACTCCCTCTCTTCCTCTTTGGCGGCACTTCGGCGGCAGCTCAATCGGGTTTTTATTTTCTTTCTTTTTTTTTCTTCTTCGCCGCTTGGGGTGGCAAAAAAGCTGGAGCCGGCCCTGCCTGAGAGAAAGAGACTTTGAGGAGAACAGACAGAAGAACAGATGGAGGATACCGGAGCAAGCTTTGGCATCCTGGCAGTCACCCACACCATTTCCTGGGATCCCGGGTCTTCGTCATCCCGATCATAAGAGACATCCTGACCAGGACAATTAGACTAGAATGGGTGTCCTTGAGGGATCACGGAGAGGGAATACAGGTTCAGTTGTCCTGAACGTATTGAGTCATATAGTGACTCC